GCCCACAAGCAACAACTCCAGCAAATGCAAGTAAACCAGCACAGTTGGCACAGGCCGCGGCCCTTTGGAGGACCCTGCCGTGTCAAAGTGGAGACTGACGGAGGCTCCAACTTTGAGGCGTTTTCCTGCTGAATCACGGGATGACTCCTTGGCGGAGCGGCACCGGTCAACGGGAATCAAAGTATGGCACTTGCGATCGATTTCCCTCTTGATTCGGCCGACGAGCGGCTCACAGAGGGATTCCTGAAGTGGCAACGAAAACCGACACCGCTCCAAGAATCGTTGCCGGAGCCCTTCTCCCACATGCTCAGGCAAAGGATCCTCCAAATTCCAAATCATCCTGTTTGAGGCCCTGCGAAGCCGCAAAGACTCTGCGTGATCCACTTCCCGCCAGAGCGCTGTGAGAATGCCCTTGACACTGCGAGGATTAGCTATACCATGCAGCTTGGACACAATCACGGGCATCACCTCATCACGGGAATCCAAATAATTGGCGAAGCGTGCAGCTGTGTTAACTTCCTCAGCTTAAAGTGATTACTGCAGCTGGCAGGCCACGGTCATGTAGCTCTTGACGCCATGCAGGATCCATGATGCAGCTGAGAACTACAGTACAAAAAAAAACAGGGAACACAATTGCCCTCGTGATGTGCTTGGGAGTACGTCAAGCACGCAGACCAACACGCGCGGCATAACAAACCTGGCTGGCATGACATGCCCGCGCACCGCAAAAACATGGACATGTGCTGTACGCTCCGGAGGAATGAGCACATGCATGCCCCAAGGTATTCAAGGACGAACACTTTTTGACGGCAGGAAGCCTGAGGTAGCAGGTCGGAATCCTATGCGCTGGTGACACAAACGCAAATATCTGCAGCACATCTCTCGCACCACTGCCTTTGGGGAAATTCTGCCATTGCTGCGAAGACTCCGGCGCCAGTATGGGGCACCCCTGAGATAGAGCAGCAAACGGGTCTAGGGAAACCATCCCGACTTACCTTATCAGGGTGCGCCCTGTGAATTTTGCCGGAGGGGTGCTTTGGCACGACCCACTCGAGAGTTGCAAGGTCAGCGTCATCATGCTCAGACTCATCCGTGGAAGACGACGTAACCGAGCCTGAAGAGCTGGAGCTGGCGGAGACATCAGAAGTCACGTTGGCGCAATGATCGGCTGGCCGCTGTAAGACCTGCTCAGCTACGGCATTACGCGTCTTCTTCGCCTCTTGCTGCACAGGAAATGCAATTGGTCGAAGCAGCTGAACCCAAGAGAAAGTGTAAAATGTGTCAGGAGCCGTCGTTGACAAGGCTATTCGAATGGCCTGCAAAACTCGCAGCTTTACATGAGTCTGCGAACTGAGTTTGACGGATTCGTCAGCATATCGCACGGGCATGCTGGAGGATGCCCCTGGACGGGCAGAGTCCAAGGGGTCCAACCACGAACCAAGAGGGAGTCGTTCCTCCAGAGCAGAGGAAGCTGCATACACTCGGCAACGGTTGTCAATGTGCGCCTACTGCTGTAGGTAGTGGGCGGCTCGCCATCCCGAACCCCCCATTCTGGCGGCGCCAGTGTAACCAGCTGTTGCAGGATGCGCTGCCAGGCTGGGGTGCTCATTGGCACAGACGAAAGGCCTGTAGAATCAGCCAAGGTGCTTCTGTATCACTAGAGCTGGCACGAGGAAGCTGACATTGCCCCCAGTGAAGGCATTCCAGCTGTGAAAGAAATCTTCGACCAAGCTTGCTTCCCAGATGCCTGCAAGCGGCATGACCCAGTCAAAAGGTGGGGGCGAGCTTGGACACAAAACGACTCCGCTGCGCATGCTTGAAGCGAACACCGGAATAGGTAAGGAGAGCTGCTGCAGAGGCCAGAAACCTAATCAGATGATTAGGCGACCGAGCCAGTTTTTCAAAGCATGCCAGATCACGGATGGTGAAAGGTGAGGCTTGCTTGAGGGGCTTAAGCGGCACCAAGTCAGCGGGCGCTGTGACTAACTCATCATCCAATGCCATCTGGAGCCCAAGGTGATCACGCAGGAACTTGAGGCCTGCAAGGACAGTAGCCACAGCCCCCGCCCCACCAGCATTGCGACGCTTGATGCCTTCACCCCTTTGAACGGCGGACAGAAACATGGCTGCTGGAACCGAATTCAATGGCAAAGCTGCCAGGCGCGGTGACTGTCTTCCGCACCACGATGACCACCGACGCCACGAGGCTAGAGCATTTCGCAACGTGTCCGGAGAGTAGGACGAATACTTGACGACCAGAAGCTTCTTAGCCTGGATCTCCAAGTGCGGCCCACATTGTTGTAGCTGCGCAGCTCTGGAGCTGTAGGCTCGATAATTGAAGAGTAACTCAACAAGATGCCCAGCCAGCGTGATAGCACGCGCACCTTCGCTAGGAACTACAAGGTCACCAGATCGCGAAGTGGGTACAACTTCCATGCTAGCTACGTCTCGAAGACGCCCTTCAGATCGGACGTTGGCCACTGCTTGGGGCTGCACGGCGGCCGCCACCGCTGGGAAGGATTGCTGCTGCGCAAAGCGCAGCCGGCCTTTGGCAATAGCGACGGCATCAAGTGTGCGGCAAGCCTGGTCGTGTAGAGCCATCCAGGCCCTGCTGTTCTGCCAGCCCAGCAGGTCGTTCCGGTTTAAGCCATATGCGAAGTCACGCAGCGTAAAAACAGATTCTTGCATGAGCAATGCTGAAGGTGTTTGCGCACAACCGAACTCTGCCAAGAATTGCAGAATGCAAGGCTGCAGCTGCTGTTTAGGAGAAACGGCTTCCGGGCTTTCTGGAACTTCAATAGCGTCATCCTTGGCGGAGGCGACCGGAGATATCGAGGGCGCCTTATGATGATGAGAAGAAGAATCGCTGGATGAGGAGGTCGATGAACTCCTCTTCTTTTTCCGACAAGGACGCATGGCCTTTTGAAAACCCGAAAGAGAAGGGCCGCTTGACCCGGAACTCAGCGAGCATCCGAGCATGAAAACGCACATCCCTCCACACCTGCACCTGCCAAACCTTATGGAGATTGACAATGACGTTGAAGATCCCTTGCCCGACCTCCTGACACCGTTGCCCGCGGTACCCAAGTACGGAACCCTTCTCTCCTCCTCGTGGACGCGCGAGCACCTGTGTCGAAGAGCTTTTTCGATGGCCTCAGAGTCGTGCTGACCCCCTGCGCTGTAGAAGACATCGAGTCGGTCGCGTCGACTCAAAGACGCACGATTCAGCAGCTTCTGGGCCCAGGCCCTAGGCACGATTGGACCAAGTCGAATCTGGATCTTCGATGATATAATTCATCCGGAGTCGTGTCATTCCTGCCACAAAGCTCGCCACGGATTGTCCAGGAAGACGGCGGTAGGCACCCAGTTCCCCTTCTGCCCTTTCAAAACTTTCTGCCGTGGACTCGCCGAAGGCCTCCTCCAAGATCACCCACAGCACCGCCAAGCCACCAGAAGCAGTGTAGTCAGAAAGGGGTCGCTGATCAAGCACGCCTCTCGCCTTTCCTCGGGTGGACAGGTAGACGAGCATTGCCAGTTCAGCAGGCTCCAGCTTGTAGAGGTGCTCCTGAGCCTCCGTGGCCCGGCGCCATGCCTTCAACTTCCTGCGGTCGCCCCCGAACTCTTCAATCTTGACTGCCCCTATGGAACTCTTTGGCCTCTCTCTGACCCGGGCCCTCCGCCGCAACATGCTTCTCAAGTCTGAGGTCGCTGCACTGCTCGAAGAGTTATCCCCGGGATCCTCGCCACGAAGCTCAGCCAAGGGTCTGCGTCGAGACGAAGGTGCAGGAGTCGCCGGAGAGGAAGTCGGTCGTGGTCCAGGCACAGGTCTTAGGCTGGGGAGGCTCCAGGGCCCCCCGCCCCACTAGGATCTGCAGCAGTCGGCGCTCCAGTCGAAGAACCCACTGGCACCCATCCGGAAGGTGAAGAACAGGAGCGAAGCCAGGAGTGGAAGCGCAAAAGGAATGGATCCCTGCCCTTGCCCGCTGGCTCCAGAAGCTACTCCACTCAACTCAGGCGCTGATGGCAAAGTAGATCCCCAAGCGACACCCTGCATGGAAGCATCCACCGCCGAAGACTCAGTCGCCCAATGACTGTGCGCTCCAGCAAGGGGTGCCGCCCACGGATCCTGCGCAGGTTGGTCCCATGGATCTGCTAGCTCATCATCACTGCCGTCAGGCACTGGGACTGCCCTCGCTGCACCAGCCGCCATAGCACACAAAGGCCGAAAGGAAAGCAGCGCAGCCTAGCCCAACAGCTAAGCCCCAATCAAAATTCCGGCCCTCAGGCTCCGGTGCCAATATTGAAAGCTAAGTCCCCTAAAGGAAGCAGGCAAAGCACGCAGGGGCCGGCCTCGCTGAGCGGCCTTTTGTCGCTGAATGCTGAGCATCGATGCTGCGGTGCGGCCGCGCTTTCCTCGAACACCAAAGGTTGGCATTCAAAACAGCATGATGTTGCTCGCCGCATGCCCACGCAAATGAAATGAGCGAAGTAAGATCATCCAGCATATGGGTTCATGAGCAAATCACCTCCAATTGTTATCATCAAAAGAATCAATAACGACCTCCCCTCCCCCTCAAAAGGTCAGATTTCTGTGGAGCAATCAATATTGACATGCGCCCCGTCCCCCTCAAAACACAAATTCAAACTCCTATGGCAGATTCAATATTGACCCCCAGCTTGCAGCTTTCCCGAACTTGTCTGCCTCCTACTAATGTTAAAGCGAGACAGCTCAAGCCAGCAAGCTCGCTTTTGTGAAAAAGCCTAGCATGCTGTCTATGCAGTCTCTTTGCAGCTCCGCTGGCGCGCTGTGCACAATCCCGGTCATGCACATATCCAACACAGCCTGGCCTAGCAACTGCTCTGGATTGTACCTCTCGGCCTAGCAGGTCTCGTCGGTAGCGCAAGGTTTGAAGTAGCCAGAGGTCAACAGCTCGCCAAAGTTGTTGTCAAACCCACTCCAGGATGTTGCTTGTCTCGTTCGAGGTAGGGCAGTTAGCACATTAGAAGAAGCCTCGTCTTCTTCGCCCAAACCCACCGTAATGACCCCCGCGGCCACCTGCAAGCAGTATGGATTCCGGTCTCTTGGTTCAGTATCATGGCAAACCAGCAAACTGCCTAGAATGCCGGTGGACTGCAGGAAGTTCCAGAGCATGTACAGCTGGAACCAGTCCTGAGACTGTTGCGAATGCTTCGTAAGAAAGGAAGTTTCTGTAAGTGTCAGGACGCTTGGGCGACGATTCCACATTCTGCAGGCACCAAACAACTCAAGCTATCTCTGCCAGGGATCCATCCGGTGGATAGGTATGATGCCCTTCCAGCACAAGATCGCCAAACCTCCAATGATCAGATATTTCCTGAAGGCCGTGGACACGAGATGAAACAAGAATTTGCGCCGAATAGAGTCTTGCCCAAAGCCGAGTGACTGCATCCCCCCGAAATCAATTCCTCCACTCCCGGAGTCGTCGTAGTCCGAGTAGCCTGGGGCAAATTCCCCCTGTTGAGTGGGGGAGATATAGGCTCGGGGAGGAGGGGGGGAGCTGGCGGGCGCTGGGCGCATTGGCAAGCAGGGATGTTGCATTTGCCTAAATGACAAGGGCCACATAATTAGTCCCCAGACCTGTTTCACCGGTATGCCAAAATAGGTCCGGCACGGAGCTCAAAAATAGAGGCTCCAACAGTACCCGTTTTTCAGAGACCTAGTATTAAACAGGGGGAATGGGGCGGCAAAGCGTGCAACATCCATCAACCAACCTTTCGCAGCAAGCTAGAAACAAGCTACTTAGCCACAGATTGCGAGATGCAAAGTTTTGGGTAAGAACCGTGCCGAAGTCATCTTCCTCATATCTGGGCGCTCTTCGATGAAAGGAAGGGTCCTCACCTGGGTCTGTACGTATAGCAAGGTCTCATCTGGTGGACCATGTACTTGTTTCAGCTAAGTTGCCGTACTCGGGGCGGTAGGTACTGGTACGGCTGCCTCCGGATGATGAAGACGGTGCCTTCCTGGTCTGTGAAAATCAAGGCATGGCTGCTATTCTCAGCGCGGGCAATAGCTTTTGGCCGGGTTTCCTGGAATTGTGCCTGGAGCTGGCCTGCATCACAGCGCTGACAACAAGCACAACCTCAGCGGCTCAATTCATCGTCTTCCGTGCCCAGTTCTGCAGAGACGTTAGCTTCGTGCAAGGAACAACGGCAACTCCAAGCAGGATTTGCCACCAGCTGTATCCGGAGTTGGCAATGCATACCTCAGCTGGAACGGCCATGCGTCCTAGAATCAGATCTGTCTGTCAAATTCAAAGGGCACTGTTCATCCAACAGTTGCTGCAGCCAAACGTCTTGTGCCTCAGCACAGCCGCGCTGTACGTGGCCTGCAGTATCTCATGACCATGACTGAGAGACGGTCAATATGGCAAAGTGTTGCAACGCGCGCAGTGCTCAGCACTACACGTAGTGTGCTTGATGCCATGTCCGTGACTTTCTTCCACCTGGTGAGCACAACCATGGCTAAATATGTTTGAACGAGAGTGCACAGCCCAAGGCAAAGACAGCCCGGCGGGTTGAGCAACCAGTGGGACGAGGTTGGCATCCTTCAAGCTTTTCCTGAGTACGCTTATATGATCTATTTGCTGTTGTTGGCCACAACTTACTGTGCGATCTGGTGAGGCAAGCTGCTGCCCCTTGCCCTCACTGACGTTGACAATGAAGCGCCCCGACGCCTGCGCCCCGCTTCGGTAGGTTTTAACTCAAGTTCGAGACGGCGCCTTGCAAGAAACATGTAGACAAACCCGCCTCGTCAAAGCGCAAGATTGTAGCCTCCAAGCCATTTAGCTCTGGAGCCCCGCGGAGACCCTGTATGCGGATGAGCATCCCAGGGGTCAAGGCCTGCTTGGCAAAACTTTGCTGAGACTGCTAAAGTCTCAAAACTTGCAAGTTGTGCCTGCGCAGAGTTGCCCGCAGTGCCGCTGGCCGAGCTGCCAACATTCTGGGATGCCTGACGGTGATAGCCCAAAATGTAACAGAATCTGAAGAGCGCTTCCATGCGGGCACCTGCTGACGTTCTCGTGCTAGAGCTTCGCGCTCTTTTCGCAAAGCTTCCCTCTCTTTTTCTATCTGGAGTCGCTCACGCTCCTGCCTCGCACAAGAACAACTTCAGGCAAGCTTGTCCTTCGGCAACGGTGGCAACCGGAATTTCCCGGCCTGATCGCTTCACGCTCTTCTTCAAGCTTTGCTCTTTCCTGGCACTATCGGAGAACAGTGGATGGCAGTTTCATTTTACGACCGTGTGCTCTGCGGCTCTGCATTTCTAAACATTAACTGGCATGCTGTCCTCCTCCAACTTGTCCGCATCAACTTTGCGCTTTGTACCATCAGGGCACGCGGCACCTGCCCCTCAGATGTGAACCGACTGCAACCATCAAGCACTCTCCAAGAGCTAGCTGTAGCAATGAGGTGAACACGTCTCCGACGGTTCAGCTCCATTTGGTACCGACGGCCGAATCGGAAACAGTACTCGTCAAAAGAAATGGTGCCTCTGCAGGAACAGCTTTGGATGAAACAGCTGGCTTTCCACAAAAGCAAACATTCAATCAGGCTGCCAGAACGATCTGTATCAAGCTGATGGCGCAGCGATTCCGCCGTTTTGCGGATTTCCTCATCCTTTGCCAAATGACGTAAGCAGCTCCACGTCTCTGCTTGCTTATGAAAGTTCAAGCACAGAAAGCGCCAACTGAAATGACAAGAGTCCACCTCCGCTGCAATGCGCAATAAGCTTCTGCCAGGCTTACAAGCCGAGCTCAATTTGTGCAATCATGCCGTTAAAATGGATGATTCTCGCTTGCTGGCCCTCTGCGCCGCAGTGCTCCATTTGCTAGTGCGTGCGTTTGGCTCCACCCCCGCCCCCCTGCATAGCAGACATCAAGCATGACCTGGAAGGTTTTTTCTTGATCAGAAACTTCCCAGGTGTGACAACTCTTCCTGCTTCTCAAGATAAGTCATGCGAAACTTTCCTGCCAACTCTGTCCTGGGCCTTGACATTCCAAGCAAAAGCAGCCTCTTGCCATTCACGTCACAACGTGTTCCGGAGTTGGTGGCTCATCAGTTCCAGCGCATGCAGGCCAAACTGCCAAAGTCAAGTCAAAAGAACGGCAAGCATACGAATGAGAGTGCTACATGCAAATGAGCTTCTGCAGCTGTCGGGTCGCAGCTTCTTGCGAAGAGCTTACAAGCCTGACCCACAGAAGTCAAGGGCACTCGAAGTGACGAGCAGGTCCAAAACATCAGCATGAAGATTACAGAAACCCACTGCTTCACTGCACCGAGATTGCGTCTCGACTCGATCTACCAGAATGGAGCTGGATCTCTGGGAATGGTCACACAGGTAAGCCCTAGAAACAGGGGTCTACGATCATGTCATCCTCTGCAACCCAGAACATTCGCATTGCTGAGCTGGGGCGGTGCAGACGATTGCAAAGATTTTTCTTTTGTGAACCTATGGCCTCCTCCGAATCGATTTCTCCCGATCCATCCTTGTCCGCAGCGTCAAACTGTCGTCTCAGTTCCTGAGCTTCTTTCCAGGTCCATGTTTGAAAATGCTTGGAGAAAACACGTTGATTATTGAAGGTCAGCCTTCGGCCTGCAAACTTGCTCCTGTGAGCTGTCGCAGCTTTGAACATCACGATGCAAACAGGGATCGGAGATCACTTCCGGATCAAACATTTGCTCAGAAGATGGGCGAGCCATGATCTTGTCAGGAATGCAGCTTACTTTCTGCTGTCGGCTGCTCACTCTATGCTCCATGCATCCTAAGCACACAAAATGTGATGGTGAGATAGACTGCGTCACAGCCAGCTGAGGCTGCAAAACGGTCAGGAAGTTGACAGTCATGGATAGAACTTACTGCCTGGGTTCCGCGTCTGTTTGGTGAATATACTCAACGGTCCGCGGCGATGATGAGTCATAACAACTATTGTTGCACCTTCAGATGTCTGCTGGATTCGTGATTGCTGTATTTTTTGTTGGCTTGGATGCATCTATGATACATGTCCGCAAAACAACCTGCATGATGATCAAAACTTCACGCACAAGCGGCACCACCTCATGCTCCTGAGAACTCATGGCTGAAAATCAAGCTTGCTCCAGTCCGGTGGTGTTGCAACGTGGATTCTCAAACTTGATTTCTGGCGCTAGCATTCTGGCTTTGACACGGCCAGGATGCACTGCAGCATCACGCCTTTTGATGCACATGTCAACCTGAAAGGAGCGGTCAGATCGTGAAACCGTTTAAGTATTTCAGGGGGTGAAAAGCACGGACGCGGCGCGGCAAGAAGAGAATCTGGAGCCTCTTCTCCGGCGAAGATGACAGCACCTTTTGAACAGGAGGCTTGACCTGCTCCGCTATGGCTTGACTGAGGTATTCTGACTTCGTTCACTAATTCACCCATTGGGGAATGCAGCCCTTCCTTTGCCGATGCAAGTCCAACTCATACATGCCAACACTTCAGAAGGGCCTGCATAGATTGCCTTGCGGGAGCCTGTTGCAACAAGCGTCCCCATACTCCATATAGCTCTGCACGGCATCCAGACTCGAAGCCCCTTCACTTGTGAGGCCAAACCCCACAACTGATCATGGAGCCCAGGTACGTCATCTGCAACAGCCGCAAGTATTGCGCAGAAGCGCTCGCAGCCATTGCCAAATGTCCTACAAAGGGAAGCATTGCAAGCGTGAGCACATGATGCAGCAGCCGCAGCAGCAACAACAACAACAATTTTGTTTGAAGGTACTGCTGGGCAAGCATGCTCTTCCTCTGGAATTGATCCGTGAAGACAAGCATGGAAACTGTATCCAAGCCTCTTCCGGCTCGGGGGCATCTCGTCGTACCTGGCATTTGTTCTTGTCAAGGGACTGCATCGCAGAGGTTGACAGGCCTGGTCTAGCTTCTTTCGCCGGACCTGGTAGAGGCGCCATCGTACCTGGCGATGAGAACCAGAAGTTGCTGCTAGGAGCTCATTACTGACGCAGCAGTATGCGCCTGGATCGCCCCGGCTGCTGTTTGCTCTGTCGCCATCCAGTCTGACTGATCCTGACCTTGACGTTGGAGACGCAACAGTTGTTCATCAATTGCATTAAACTGCTAGGACAAATCTTCGACGCCGCAGATTGAGCGGCTGGCAGTATTTGCGCCATGCCCGCCAAGTCCTTCCAGCATGGAAGTGCAAAGTTTTACACCGGACAAACACAAACATGAGAGAAGAGGATTAATTTGTCCCTAATCTAGATTCGATAAGGGTAGTTTTGCTGAAATCCACACGAGTTTGAGTAAAGTACATGCTTGAGATTGACACATGGCAGCAGCTCTGCTTTCCAGAACTTCGATTGGGCTACGCAGATTCGTGATGTTTGCAACTCCACCCGTACGAGGGAAGCCCTGCAGGCCATGGCCTCTGAATGGTCACGCTGGCCTTGTCCAACTGCTTTTGCCTCACCCGCAGGGAGTCCAAGCCCATGGACTTCCCCCAACTTGAGATGTTCAGCTTCTAACCAACATGCCTTCAGATCTGAACACAGCTGAAATTTATAGCTCCTTCACACAGTGTCATTTGATCATGGCAGCTTTCCGTTTGAAAGGTGGTGTACACAAGTCAAACCACGTGGATCACAAGACTCGCTCACAAGTCGTCGTGGAATAAAATTCAAAAAAGATAGTAAGCTGTCATATGAAGAGCATGTGGAAGCTTCCCTAAATTACTGTTCCCAAAATGGAGAAATTTATATAGGGCCCCGTATTATAATAGAAACCTAAATATAGGACCCCGTATTGACAGTAATTTAGGACAATCCCGATCTGCACTGCAGGCCTCTGCTGTTCCTCCGTGGTGTTGCCCCACACCTCTTGGACATGAAAATGTGGCTTTGAACAGGACAGCGACATCCAGACTCATGGAGAACGGAAATCCTCTCCGAGCTGATCTGTTGAACTGATGCTCGGGTCTATCCGCTCCATCACCCAGGCATGAACCCCCCAAATTTACTTATGATATCCCTGTAGTTCACCGCCGCTTGCTATGCTGCCCGGCCTCCTTCTGTCTTTGGCCCTTTTGGCGCCGCTTCTGCTCCTTGGCACTACGGTTGGCCTTGCCGCGGAGGCGAAACGACTGTGCAAAAAAGTTGACTGGTGGCGCAGGCCATACCTGTACTGGGGTGAATCCCATGGCATTCAAATGCCTGGCACCATACCTTAAGGGTTTATTTCATCTGCTCACGAATGCTTCAGCAAAATTGACGAAATGATGCTGACAGCCCCCATGGCTGACCGCCTTTCATGGCTAAACAAAGCTCGCCGCTGGCCTCGGCTTTTTGCTTTGCGGCCTCTCTCCTTGTGCGCCTCTCTTCGTCTTCGCGACTTCCTTGCCATCTCTGTGGCTGACCGGCATATCTAGCCTGCTCTGCGGCAGAAAACAGAATGCGACCAATGCGTGGAGAAATGTGCAAGCACTTGCTTGCGGAACAGAAGCAGCCCCAGCCTTCCTTGCTTCGCGCTGAATGGTCGCTTCTGCCTTCCTCAATTCCCACTCGTCCTGTCGGGCAAGGGCACAGCCATCAGGGGTGAAGTCATGATTGAAGCACCCGCCCAAATGGACTTTGCAGTTTGCAGTCTGCATTCAATCATGCTCGTCACGCCCCGTTTTTTGGCAGCATCTGCAAGACACTCGTGGCAAAAGCCGTACAAACAGACATGTCCAGCCTCATGTCGGCTCTGGTGTTCTGCCATGTCCTCTCAAGCTCTGGCTTTCGTTGCCTGGGATGCTGTTTGCACTTTGTGGCTGGTAGTGTCTCAGGATGGCATGCCCTGAAACGCACGACCAACACAAAAGCCATCATCAACAGCGAACCCACAAAGCACCCACAAACACTACCAGCATAATCCATCTTCTATCAGCTGTGTCATGCGCATGGCGCTCGGCCTCAAGGTTGTCTCGTCGGCGCTGCGCTGCCTCTCATGTACCCGCATGCTTCACGTAGACAACCATGCATCTGAAGAAGCTACAGCAGAAGTTGGAAACAAGCCAAGCAAACGCCGGACTCTGGTTCAAGGCTTCGCGACATGAAAAAATGATTATTCTCAAGCGGCACTGATACATGGCATGACCTCTGCTGGGAGGATGAGAAAGGGCGCTTGACAGTCATTCCTCTCAGCTAGGTTTGAAAAAAATGCTGTTTACTGCAAAGGACGTCCTCTAGATTGCCTTGGAAGCTCAGGAATTCAGCAAAGCCCTCCGAACAGGAAAAAAGCAACACAAAAAGCACAGACATCATCAAAGCCAGAAAAGAAGGCAACCAAACGCGCACAAAAAAACAGAAGACAACGAGAAAGGCAAACAATGGGAGACTGAAGCTGATGGAGATCCCTGAAGGAACTGCCAAGATTATGAACCGCTTGAAATCCCCAGTCGCCGTCTTCAATATGCTCGGCACAAACAAGGCAAGGCGCTCCTTCACCCGTTTGGCACAGGCCATTTTTCGAGCGAGAACTAAAATTGCATGATGGTTTGGCGCTGATCTTTTAGCTTTCGATGCATATGTTCAGCGCTCATCTTTCAAACTCTGACCGGTTTTTTGCATTTGCTGAAGCAAATGTGCACGATCTCTAGGGTCCGGCTGCTGGCAGGAGGTGGGACTGATTGCAATGCTGAACTCTCCCATGTATACGGGCTATCCTGGCGACGGGCCTTCTCATTGGAATCTTGTTGCGCCGTCGCCTCGAGGACCACCTAGCTTACAAGCAAGTCAAGAGCATTTCCGGCATCGAACAGAACAATCAATGGGCTGTTAAGCACAGGACCAAGTATGCCTCTTTGATCTTCTGGAAGCGCTTTGTGGTTGCTTGGGGCCTCAAAGCATCGAAAACCGCAATCCACTTTGCCCTGCGTGCGCCTGACGAACGAGGACCGCGCAAGCTCCGTTCTGCCTCGCCTTATCTGGATGCAGTTGCAACGCCAGCCTTGGCCCGGGAGTTTCGAGCTGCATGTGAGACAAGCAAGTAGTGTGCACGCAGAGGTGGCAAAGCCCAGAAGCTGGGCAGCCCCACTTGTGATAGGCAGCTTTCACCTCTGCCATGCTACATCCTCGATGTATGCCTGACAGCTTCAGCCAGGAAATACTGTCTTTTCAAATTACCAGGCTCCCAGGCTGGCCTAACAGCGCATACGCGGAGGTCCTGACTCCAGTCAGGGCCATGCTGTTATTTCTGCAGTAACAAAGAACTTGTAGGACCCCCGTTTTGGATATCGGACCATACAAAAGCTGGATAGGGCACAGCACCTGGAAGCTGGCAGAGAAAGCTCCGAGCTGCTCAGATTGCAAATAGAGCGACAGCTGTACAAATTAAATGATTAGAGCTTTCTCATACTTCCTCAACAGATCACACACAAATCTCTCACTGCATCGCATCCAGATCAACACACATCCCGTTGTCGTTATGGTCACTTTGGCCACCATTCAGCAAAGCTTCCACTTGTCCATCTTGCAGCTCTTTGAAGATGTGACCTGTCCACCAACGCGTTCGACTGCTGAGTTTTCTCACACACTGTGCCAAGGTCCTTGCCTAGGCCTAGGCAAGTAAGGCGGTAGCTGTTTGAAAATCACGTGTTTGCATGTGCTATGAAATGGTCTGGGCAGGTCATGGCTACTCGGGATGACAAACTGCTCGGTCAATGCAAATGTGCGAGATGTCCTGCAAGGTTGCAACGACACCTCTTGAATGTGTTAAAACACCAAAGCTTGAGAGAAGCACGGGCGCATACAAATGCTGAAGCACACCCATACTTGGCGCTGGGCAAAAAGACATCTACTTGATGCAGCTCTGTGATCAGCTCTGTGGGCAAACATCTTTTGCGCATGTCAAGGCGGTGCTGGGGGAGGGCCAGCGCCGTCTGCGCTGTAGCCGTCCATCGGATCTGGCAGAGCTGCCAGCAAGTTCTCAGGCTGTGGTCGAAGCTGGCTATCCGGGCTTGTCAGGGAAAAAGCCCTACCTCCTGCATAGCCACCGGGTCCCTGAGGTGGAGCTGGTGGCAGTCCAGCTGCCTGCAAGGCCATGCTCAGCAAATTACCTTGCGGCCGTCAGCAGTGTTGACAAAGCGCCTGCTGCATTTCCATCTCACGTTTCCGCTCGCACATGATCTGGCATGGTGTAACTGCACGACACCTACCCTAGCACAAACGGAATTATTGTTAACATGCAATGTTTTTTCAACGATAACCCAGGTTCAACAGTTCTGGTGCCTGGCAGAAGAAATCGTACTGCAGGCACGTGTACATGATCTCTGCCAGTCCCTGCACTTCACCTGAGCCACATAAAGCTTTTTGGCAAGGTCACCACACGTTGACGTGCCAGACCTCCTTCCTCCTTGCCAATCTTTTGAAAGGCTTCGTAAAACGCCTGTTGGGTCTCCCCTCTCTGGAGCATGCTGCGTGGTCCGTTCCACTCGACCAACGATCTCAAATGGTAATCTTCCATGCCAACCTCTGGCGTCGCACCGATGCTGGACAGGAACCCATTCAGCCTGTCCTTGCAATAACATCCCAAGAGGCGTGCAAGTGCGAATTCGGCGTAGGCAGCAGCGAAAGACCTTTCAATCGATCCTCGAAAAGCTGCTTGAATTCGTTGTGTAGCCGAGTGTACCTCAAAGAAACATGCATAACGGGCGCGGTGCAAATATGCAAGCCCGTTACAAGTCTTCAGTGTCCCCTCTGGAGCACTCGAGCTTGTGCTCACCCAGTTCCGGCTCGAACACAGCACAATTTGCGTCTGCAAAATGAACTGCTGTTTGCACTAAAGCCTGGCACAGACTTGAAAAGCTCTCATTTCACTTGATAAGCTTGTCACGAGCAGGGCCTCCATCTCAGTACAAGTAAACCAGGTCTTCACCTCACAAATGTGCACTCGAGTCCAAGCCCCCAGCAGCTAGGCGCAGCTAGCCGATCCTGCTCCACAAGCTCCCGTTCCTGCGGACTGACGTCCGCCATTGCCTGCTGCATGCGCTGCTAGGGAATGCAAATTGCAAACACAGCTATCAACCTTCACAGCCCGCTGCTTCAGCCGCACATTTTCGCTCTAGTGAAAGCACGGGGCGGGAGTGACAGGTTGGCAGACTATACAACCCCAGAAGTAATCTAGAAAACCATCAAAACACGAAATCGTTAACCCGAAATCGTTCTCGGATGACTACCATGCTTCGTCATTGTAGCCTTGCGCCACGGCTTGGGCCTCATGCTCAGGAGAAGACACAAAGACAAAGACGAACAACGAATTCGTTACAGGGAGTACCAGACAAAAGCTGCTCAACGAAAAACGATACGCTTGGATGTTGCCAAATGCGAGACGCCAAAATAAGAGGAAATACTTTGCGTTCAGGCCACCGGATAGGACGTGGATCTGAGAAGCAGGCAAATTACAGGATTTCATTTGAAGCTGTCAAGTGCTGAAACACAGAACTGGCATCTGAACAATCTGAACTTGAGCCTGGCCCTAAATGTTGTTGATCGAACCAATTAAATCGAGATACTGCGAGTCAAAAAAATACAAAGTAATATGGAAAATGATCACAGCAGCGATGCAATTTGTGTCAAAATGACAGCAATGACCCACAGGCTTGTATCAATATGACGCGACCGCGAATGACAATGATAACGGATGAAGATGAAGGTTGCTTTGGCAGCGAGCGGAAACTCGGCGACGTTTAGTGCCATCTTCAAACGACAAATTGCTGCCGCCACCTCTGCCAAGACGATGTTCAACATGCTGCATGTTGCAGCTTGTCAAGCTCACCGCGCGACTTTGCTTTACATGAACATTGTGACCGTTCCATTGCTACGGTTCAACGCTGATTGCTATCTGTCTGGCGCACTCGACAGGCTTGATTGCGCATTTGAACTTTGCACGCTGGCAGCGACCGGAAATTCGAGGCTGTCCTAGGTGCGCGGTTGGAACCTCTGGCGTCGTGCAGCACATCGCTTTGGTTAGCTTCACACCAGCCACCGATCCCGAAAAGTACGCGCGGAAGCCCTGTGCGGGAAGGCTTCCCTACCCCAGCTTCAGTCTCGATTCAGCCGAAGGGGTAAAGGCGCATGAGCTTTCTCAAGCTGTACATCCGTCATTCCTGAAATCATGAAAGGCATTTGATGGGGTGGCGCAACTCCAAGACTCCAAGTCCAAGACACGTCCAAGCTGCAGAGGATTGCGGAGGCCATCTTCATCAGTGCCAATCATACATCAGCCTCGAGCCTACATCCCTTGCCGGACCCAGTCGCTAGACCCAGCCCCGAATACTCAAAAGTGTTGACATCTCCTCCATGACGCTGGCGTCTGAGAAACGGCGCAGCTTTTGTTGTAACCAAAACAGAAAGCAGGCGTGGGGATAGGGGAGATACTTGCCTGAGGCCTGTCTGTCTGCAGTGTCATAGCTCAACTTTGGAGAAATCCCCACCGCAGAAAGCTCTCTGAGGTCACGATTTTTTCAGCTGAACTGGAAAAGGGCCACTCGCCATGAAGAAGTCTGAGCTAGTGCACTGACGTACATTTACAAGGTGGGAAGTGAAACATCACACAGCTCTGCAAAGCAACTCAGGCCACCAGTCTCTACTGTACACGTACAACTCATGTTCTTGTGACATGGAATCAGGATTGCTGCTAAGTGCGGATTCCTCCTGCAATGTCTCGTACCGCCACGACCGGTCAGTATCCAGCGCTGAGAACTGGCCTGCCAAGAGCAGGCAACTGCGACGGAACAGAAGCCAATCCTCTCAGGTGACACGTTCACCAGAAATCGCCGACTAGGCTTTTGAGACATTGACGTTCGCTTAGATATCTGACATGCTGAGTCCACACCCAAAACCCTGCGAAAGAAGCTCAAGCAATCGCATGTTGGTGTGTAGACATCTGCAAGGTTCGCAAAGCGGGTCTCAAAATTGCCAAGCCAAGAAAGCTTACCACGTCAAACGAGACAATTGCAGAGATCAAGTCAAGTCCAGCATCTACAGTCACCAACACTTCAGTGGCTGCAACTTCCAGACGTGTCACGGCAGCAACCACAGTACTGCCATGACTCCCTCACCTCTGCTGCCATCCCATATGGATTTTCACCTGCAGGCAAACAGCAATCAAAACAACACGTCTGTGCCCGTGGTGCTGGGTCCCTGCCTTCTTTGCTCTCCATTTGCAGGACAAGAAATTGTGGGTACCTGTTCCAGTATCCATTGCCCACCGTCATGGCTACGAGTCAAGCATACAATACAATCCTTTGGCCTTTGACCTAAACTTTTTTAACCTACAGTACTGTAGCAGTGGAGGGCCATGCCATGCAAGACCCAAAGAAAGTGCCCAATGATTCTTGCTATTGGCGCACAGAATGCTCGACAGAACAGCTCCGTGGGCGGCTTCTGGGCCCAGTTCGGCCAATGGCACTGCATGGCCTTCGCCTCTGCAGAGCTGCTGCTTGCGGGACAACTCTTCTTGTCGCAAGGCCGTATCGTGCCTTTGGCAGGCAAGCGCAGTTCCCTTCTTGTGCGCTGTTCGGCAACCTGGCTTGCACTCACTGTTGCATTCAAGGTTGTCTGCTATGAGAGAGCATGCTGAAAAGGTTTCTTCTGTGCCTGCAGCTTCCGAACGCTCCTTGTGGAGCCTGACCTGTTGCTGCAAGAGCCAATACCCCAGTCTTCATCAAACTCATAATCCCGAAGGACATGCAAATATTTGTGGGAGGAAGCCTGTAACCTTCCTGCCAGCCTACCTCCACTTGACTCTGCACAGACTTGAAGGCATCATCAAGCCGGCGGATATTTGTGGGAGGAAGCCTGTAACCTTCCTGCCAGCCTACCTCCACTTGACTCTGCACAGACTTGAAGGCATCATCAAGCCGGCGGAGGGACGCCTGCATGTCAAGATATATGATTTGACAAAACCAGATGTAGTCATATGTACTAGACTTCCGCCTCGAGCTTGCTTTCTCGTGCAGGATCATCCCTGAAAGTATCACGCATGACCTGCCAACGAGACACTCTCATATTTTGCAAAGGAAGTTCCTGCTTCGAGCAGGTTGCATGGCCTCAGAATCGCGCCATAGCGGCTCTTTGCCGCTGAACTGGCGCTGCATCTCCTTTAGCTCCAGCGAGCGTGCAGTCTGCGCTGGGAAGTCGCACAGGCTCAAAACACAACCTGTTCATTCCACGAGGCATAGGTCCTGAAAGTCTAAGCGCAGCAAGCTTTTTTGCAGTGCCTTGCACAACCAAGACAGGAACGTAGAGATGGGGTGCCTTGCTGACTTCAGTCCAATACTTCTGCTCTTGCTATTGCCGTCATTTGGCAAAGATCACTGAAAGTGTAATGATCAAAATATGCAGAAGCTGCTCCTGCCAAGGGTGTGGCAACACAAACGACCTGCATGGAATGTTTCACCTAGACCAAAGTCTTTGGCTGAGCGCCTCCTCCTCGGTGAGCAAAGCTTTGAGAGAGACTCCGGTCATGGATGGCCTTCAAACGGAATGAGCGTGTGGGTTGGGTGGACTCTGAAACCCACTGCCAATCAGCCGTTGAACTCTGAGGTGCACCAAGACTGTCCCTCAATCCACCTGCACCGCTGCCTGGCACTCTGTGACCTGGTCCGCCTCAGAGATCAACAGGCCATACCGCAAGTGCTTCAGCTTAGGTAATTAATCAGCAATGCAAGAGTGTAGCATACCTAGAAGGGAAGTAGAGACATGAAGCCTTTTGCACGAGCCTGAAGCAGTTTCTGAACACTACGAAGTACAGTAGACTACTAGGCAGCTTGCTTCTTTGGCGCCGCTTTCGCAGCTTCCGATTGGGACCTCCTCGCGTACCAATCCCACAAGTAAGCATGGTCACTTCACGAAGCATCTGAAAGCATGTGCATGTGCATGCCTGTCAACACAGTCAGCGCTTCCCTTGCCAGCACACCTGCTCAAACTCCAGTGGGCGCGAAGTTCAGAAGCGCTGCGTCCAGACAAGACACTACTCCCTGGCCTTGTCGGAGCAGCCGCTTCAGGGGCACTTGCTTGCGCGGGTGCTTTCGACTTGACACTGAAAGGCGCCGGGCAAGCGTGCACTTCATCCCTGCGAAGCCTTGCCGCACTCGGCATGCGGAGTTCTTGCGGGCCATCATCCTCACTGGACGAAAGTGTCTCATCGAGCGGGTCCCTGTCATTGATCTCTGAAGCCAGGGCAACTTCCAGCTGCTGAAGGCTGTTGCTCGATTCCATATCTTCTAGGATCTTGCTCTCTGTTCGACGCCCACTTTCAATCTCAGGCTGGCTGAACCAGGCGCGCAAAGATGCACTGAGCTTGGACGCAATGTCAGGCTCAGCAGGAAGCATGTCCGTGGAATCCTCCTCGCCGACTGTTGAGGGTGCGGCGGTGGAAACCTCGCTCCACCCAGACTGAGGCTTGGAAGCCAGCAGCTTGTCTTGGAGAAGCTGCTTTCCAGGAGCAGACCAGGAGGAAGCGCAGCTTTTAGAAGGCGGTCTGCGCATACTGGACGGACGGCCAACAGGCACTGCACATCGACCGAGCACGCTTGAAGGCTTGTCATTATTGTTCTGAACTTGGCCAGTTGACGTCATGTCAAAGAAGACCCGTGCCTGGGCCAGGTAAGCCTCGCGCTCACGTTGAGCAACGTGCAGCTGCTGCCGGCGGCATTCCAGCGCACGAGCCTGTTCCTGCGCCAATTGCACCGCCAGGGCATGCTCACGCCGCTCTGCAGATTCAGCCCGTTTCTCCAAGGCATTTTGCTGCACCACTCTTTGATGAGCTGAGGGCGGCGTCAGCAGCATGATGCCATGAAAAGAGTAGTGTCCATGTGGCAGTCTATCTACAACTTGCCTGCTGCTGAGAACCTGGAGTGCGGAAGCTGCCAAGGCACAGTGTGTCGTCGTGGGTTGAGTTTCTGTTTGGCAGGGCTGAATCCCTGAGCCATGCTGCCCGAAAACTCAACAATCTCGTCATCACGCAGCTCACCTGTCAGTTCATGCACCATTGACTTGTTAATCCTTTTTTGTACATTTGGGCTGCTTGCAACTGCATAGCTTGCACTGTCCAAGGGGGCCCAAGCTTTCCTGAAAAACTTGTTCATCGTTCGGGTGCCTGCGCACTCAGCACCAACAAAAAAAAAATGGTACTGACACAGGGAGAACCTTATACCTCCCGGGCCTGCGAGGGGAAGCCGGGTATCCGATTTCTTCCACATAAAGCTTGTTGCAGACTCCTGCAGCTGGACTGAGTGCGACCAGGCTCGGCGCTGTGCATTTCACATGCCAGACATTCCGAGCATGTTGCTCAAAGGTCCGCATCGGGCCCGCCGCCCGAGCGCAAATAAAGACTGTGCAAGTCTGTGCTAGCTTCTACGTAAGAAGTGGACATGCGAGGAGCTTCAGATGAGACAAGTGTAACACCAGAATTGGCCATCCAGGCACTGATCATCAGAGAAGATCCGTGCCTGCAGAAAGCATGGACCATCCCGCCAATCCACACAAAGGGAGCTCTTGCTCCTTTCATGGACAGCAGCCTGGACTTGCGGCTACAAGGGGCATGTAATGTTCGGGACTGCTACTATGTAGAATTTCGTGGCTCCGCAAGTACTTTCTGGGATATCAAACCGTCTAGTGGTGAGACAAGAGCAGCGAATTTGCACAGGACGCAGATTCAATGGCAAGTGTGTCGTAACACCTCGCCTATACTACTGAAACAAAAGATCTAACTGGACTGAATTTGAGGACTGAGTCTGGAAGTTGTGAACCTAGAGACTCAGCGTCCGAGGATCAGAGGGCATCCCCAGGCTCGAGGCCTCAACAAACGATCTCAGCTGTCCAAGTTCTTTGCTACAGCTCGAATGATTACAAGCTGTTGAATCAACATCGAACATGGTTCATCAAGGCTTGTCAAAGGATGTCAGCAAAAGCCCAAACCAGGTCAACCGTGGTTAACCGCCAGAGGCCCCGACCGTCACACACACGGAGCAGGACCGACCTTCTGTAGTTCTGCCTGGCATTGTTTGTAGCCCCCACAACGCTTCACAATGAACTCTCCCAACAAACAGGTCAGGGCGGCAGCTTGGTGAGTGACGCCCATTCGCTGCAAGATCCAAGCAAGCTGCTGTTCAGCATGCAAGCGAACATCGCGCAAAGCCTGCTTCAAACGCAAAGCAGATGCGATACACAAGTGTGACGCCAACAAGCGGGCCTTTGCGGCCTGGGCGTCCTGGCAAACTGACAACGTGCGTCCGCACAGCTAATGCTTCTCATACCCTTCAGCTGCAAGCCTACCCAGTGCTGAATTGAAAGCGACATTCAAGTGAACTTGCAACATGAAGATCCTCAAACTGTCTCTTCATCCAATACATAGTTGTGCCATGTTCGATTTGTTCAGGAGTTCAACGTGGTTCTAGCTTCAGGGGTAGAACCCCGTTTCAGCTCACCTGTTTCGGATTCTGGCAACTGTACAAACAAACAGGATGCAAGTTGCACCCAGATCAGAGGCGCAGTGAATCGGACCCGGCTCAGATTACCAACCCAACATCCTCGGCCCCTAAACAAACCAGAACCCAAGTCTTGAACCTTAAACAACCACAAACCCAAAACCAACTGGAGCCATCGCAATCCAGAACCCCAAACAAAATCAAACCTGAAGGAACCCCCAACCCTAAACAAAGCCACACCCTAAACACTAAGCCACTGTTGACAACCAACTTTAAGCTCTGGTCCCAAAGCACACTCAGACAGTGCCAAACCCTAAAGCCTGAACAACCCCAAACCCTAAACTTCATGGACTCTATTTTGGCAAATCCGGCAATGATGCGTTTCTTCAACACGTTCCAGGTTTCGTTACAAACTTAGACGGGCCACAGAACAGCGTGGGCCTCCTTCTCGCAACCATCCCCGTGCGACACCCTATGCCCTAAACAGGCGATGGACCTCAAAGCGTGGGAATCCAGCCCCAACAGCTTCAAGCTAGTGAGCCAACCCCTTCTATATTGAATAAGCTTGATGTTGAAATCGAACATGCACATGCTGAAGGTGCATGGAAATGTTTTGCCGATGCTTCGAACAAGCTGCAAATCGTGCTTCAGAGATTTCAGGTAAGGGACCTCTTCATGGATCCCATACATAGGGGAAGGGGTGTTTCCAAATTGCAAAAACAGAAATGCAGTGAACCGCTTGTCAGGCATGCAAGACACGCTGAGTTTGAACCAACAGGGGAGGAGTCAACCCTTTTGCTTAGACAACTCATCAGGCAGATAAGAAGACTTGGCACGTTGGCGGCTCAGCTAAAAGCTGGGGCAAGTAAGCTGGAAAATGAATCTCAGCGTGCACTGGCTGCGGCAGGTGATACATGGAAGGCTATTGTGAGTGCCAGGGGTTTCGGCTCATCATTTGCAGAGTGGTGGGTCAAAGAGAGTGACCGGTCTTTCATTTTTCAGTTGCCAAATTATAACATGGTGGGCAGTCAAGCTTTGGAGGCAAAGACGGAAAAGCTTCCCTAAGTTCCGGCCTCAAGATGATGACTTGCAGCTGTGTACGCCAGGTACAATACTGTAACAGGGGAAGTCCCAAGCAACAGTGTCTGCGGTAGATAAAGGCATCGTATCGGCCATGATCATTTGTGGCAGTTTCAGGTCTGGCATGGCACAGCTTGCAAGGCCAACAGCTGACCCCCAAGCGGTCACAAAGGAAGCAGAGAGTTTCTGGAGGTCGTTTTGGGATGCACAGTAGTCCCCACAACAAGGGGAAACATGCAAGCAGTATGTGAATAATTTGCCGCAATTACCGTTGCTTGATACTACAAGAAAGCGAGAGGCCCGGATTTGCGAAGCAATTTTGATCTTAAGTATTTGCCAGAGGTTCTATTCTCAAGGCTGTTGAAACTCCTAAACTTGTTTACGGCAAAAGGCCAATGGCCGGAATCCATGAGGCACGCCAAAGTACATCTTTTGGCCAAATCCAGTGAAGTCCGTCATTTCTTCCACTCGCCCTATTACAATCCTTTCCAATATCTATAGGGTATGGGCTCGCATGGTTAGGGCAAGGGTTTTTAAGCATATCCAGCATGTGTTGCCAAAAAAGCTTTTCGATCAGTCCCTGGCAAATTTATCTGTGAGCTCATACTCTCAATGCAACTTCAGCTGGAGACAGCTTCAGTCAGCTTCTGTCAGTGGCACAGACTGGGGTGGGATTGCCTTAAACCTCTCGAAAGCGTATAATACCTTGCCCCGGAGGATTTTGCAAACATCAACAGTCGCTTGGGTTTGGATGGTTTTTGGGTGCCCTACTCAAACTTTCTACAAATTTTCTAGATGGACTTCAGAGACATATGGTGTCCAAAATCACTGGGGGCAGGGGATCAAGTCACGCACAGGAATCCCAGAAAGTTGTCCTTACGCGGTGGTGCAAATGATCCTTCTCACTTGGGTTTTTACTGCAACGATTAAACATGAACTGGGCATCGCCCTTCATTCTTTCGTTGATGATTGGGTGGTTGCAGATGGTGATTATGGTAAAGTCGCAAGGGCTGCAAAAATGGTGCAAAAACTGGCAAATGATTTTGGACTATTTCTGTCGTTGAGTAAGTCTGCAGCTTTTGCTTCTTCAAGCAAGGGGGCGGGCATTCTTTCTGAAGTGCTGACAAGTCAGGGTTTGAGCATACCGGTTGTTGCCAACTTTGAGGGCCTTGGGGTTCAGTTTCATGCTTGTGGCACATTCCGTACTTCGGCCCGTAACGCTAGACTTGACAAAGCCACCTGTCTCCTTAAACGCTTGCAGAGCCTACCATGGAAGGTTGAACAGAAAACTGCAATTGTCAAGCGGGGCATATTGCCATTGGCCCTGTATGGGTGTGAGACGCAAGCATCCACAAAAACTGTTCTCGGACAACTCCGTGCCAAAGCAAACCATGCGGTATGGTCGGGCAAGCAATACCACGATCATTTCCTGACTCCACTTTTTTCAGGTAATAACTACGAGCCTTTGCTGTACATACTGCAACGTCGCTTTCCAGCAAATACATGTGCTTGCGAACTGTGCGGAAGCTTTGACGACACGGTCCACCGTTTTCGCAACTGCCCCGGAACTGGAGATTTACGACAGGCGCATGGCGAGGCTTTTCTTCAAACTTTGCCCGATGCAGTTTTGTTGTGTGGTCTTTTCCCACAACTGGATGCCGTTGAGACATACGCTGAGGAACTAGACGCATTGCCCTCCCAGGAAATATTGAAGCTCGACGATGATGGCCAGTTGAGGATTTTCTTCACTGACGGGGCTGGGTCCGACTTAGGTCACCCGGCAACGAGGTTCTGTGCATGGGCTGTCACCGAGGCTGCCGAGAATAGCAAAATCTCTTGCGTGAAACTTCCTTGCTTTATGGGAGGAAACAGACTGTATATAGAGCGGAGCTCACGGCAGTCATCGCCGCAGTCGCGATGGCAGACAGGTCAGTGATCTTTACCGACAATGCCGCGGTCGCTGCCGGTATGGCCCGATTGTTGGCCGGAGTTGACGTCCCGTTCTGGCAATCACATCCCGACAGGGATCTTTGGAACCTTGCTCATCGCATTTACAGCGCCAAGCCATCACCAAACATCATAATGCGCTGGACGCAAGCCCGCCGAACTTTACAATCAGCAGCGTCTTTCACAGAAATGTGGATGATTTGGCACAATGGGTGTGCCGACCAGCAGGCTGGCAGAACGCTGCAGCAAGAAGTACCATCTCAGCTTCAACATCAGAGGAACATTCTGCGTACAACTCTTGAAGAAGTCATTGCCATGAAGACCCGAATCTTTTGTTTCGTTCGGTCAGTCCTTGACAGATTTGATGCATGACACTCCGGCTCCGAGTTCTTTGTTTCTATTACTTTATGCAAGTCAAGAAGACGAGCTGTCTCGCATGCGCAGACATTGGGGATAGTTCAGTCCGCACGTGCCTAAACTTCATCAAAAACCCAAAGTTCCACACACTCAAGAGTGATTGGGATGCTGAAGGCTGAAAGTGCGGGTTTGCTCTGCTAAAGGAAAAAATATGCACGTTTGGGGCGGGGGTGGGTTCTTGTTTGGGGCCAAACAAG